ACACAAGCACACCCGAGCATGTAGACACCATGCTGAATTTGTAAAAAGACCCCCGTCAAAAAAGCCTACCTACCTACCCAAACTTTTCAGCCTGGGTCGGTTGGGTGAGGGCAAACAAATATTTTTTTAATTGTGGCCTAATGCCCGGTCGGCGTGACTACATGCGCTGCTGTATGTATGCGCGAGACTTTTGGGAGATTTTTGGGTCAGTTTCTCGGAATTTTTCTCGTCGCAGTGTTACGACAACCGGATCGTGCTTAACGGCGCGTTTATTCTTCCACGGTAGTTTGCTGGCAGTAAAGACTGGCTTGTTTACCAATGCTTTATACCATGACTACATGGCATAGTGTCCAGAACGTTTATTCAGTGTTTTCTCACGAGGTAAGTATTGTATATCACGAGGTAGGTTATTGTTTGGAGACGTTTGCGTGTGCGTTTCCAGTTTCCGCGCGGATAGTTACTTATATGCGTGCGTGTGTGGTATCACAGGCACTTGAAGCGTTTCAATAAAATATAATGCTAAATAAATACGAAATCTAATACTAGTACTACAAAATTCTTAATGTTTCTTTACTCTCTTTCACCTATTATTGCCGACAGTTTCCTGTAAATTCCTACGTGCAACAATATACGCTGCCGGCGCCACTGTTGGACGCTTACACTAATATATATAGCAGGTAGGAAAGCGGGATCGCAAAATTCGCTCGACGCTCGCTGGATTTCACACTTTCACAGCACGAATACACATCCAACAGCTGCCATCTTTGTTTCTATGTCAAGAACAGTGTTCACTTGTTATAAAAACATACTGTCTCTGTTCGTAACCGAGCTATGTCACGCGAAATCACACAAAGACTGACGAAATTCTCGCGTTCGCAAACCTTGCCCCGTAATGTAAACAGCTGTCAGAATCTGGGCTATACTGGGACTCACTCCCACCTCGATTACCCATCGAGTGACTAAGCTAAGCCCAGAGGTGGGAGTGAGTGCCAGTCTATGGACTATAGGCGGCGCGCAGGCGGCGCACTGCTTTCCAACTCCCGTACAAGCCTCGCCATTGGAACGTTGCAAAAACGTTGCGGCGCAAGAATGAGGTCACGAAGAGCGCCGGTAGGTGTTTCCTGATTCTGACAGCCATTTACATTACGGGCAAGGTTCGCGAACGCGAGAATTTCGTCAGTCTTTGTGTGATTTCGTGTGACACAGCTCGGTTACGAACAGAGACAGTTTGTTTTTATAACAAGTGAACACTGTTCTTGACATAGAAATAAAGATGGCAGCTGTTGGATGTGTATTCGTGCTGTGAGTGTGAAATCCAGCGAGCGTCGAGCAAATTTTGCTATCCCGCTTTCCTACCTTCTATATATATTAGTGTAAGCGTGCAACAGTGGAGCCGCGAGAGCAATGGCGCCGGCAGCGTATATGGTTGCACGTAGGATTTGGACGGAATTTACAGGAAACTGTCGGCAATAATAGGTGAAAGAGAGTATAGAAACATTAAGAATTTGGTAGTAAATAGATTTCGTATTTAGTTTGCATTATATTTTATTGAAACGCTTCAAGTGCTTGTTATCCGCAGTGTTGATGTCGACCAACTTTGTTTCTCTCTAATCTTCGATATACATATACGGTATATTAATTATTATCCCTACTACCTAGTCCCTT